TTCTTTCTATTAACATCATATTTATGAGATCCCCTTCTATGTTTTACATGGTAATAGTCAGCTCCTGGTCAGTGTGTAAAGTCCTTTCTGTGGACACGAGCCATCATTTGTCCATTCCACAGCAGGTGAGCCTTTGGATGCCGTGTGAATCTCTTCAGATGACCATAACAGATTAGCACAGGCAGCATGGCTAAAAGGATACAAATTCAGTTAGCATAGGGCTGGCATCTAGGGATTCCATACCAAAGTTCCAGCTGATTTGATTCCTGGTGAGGACTCCCTTGTGTGTGCTGGACTTTTCATTTGTTGGCCCATAATATGGCTTTTATGTGTGTGCATTTTTGTGTGTGGAGAGAGGAGAGGAGTGTTTTTACATCTATTCTTCTTTTCAGGACATCAAATAAATGTGACTTGACTAGGATTCTCCATAAATGTCCTATTTCTGAATACACTCACATTGGGTGTTCAAGCTTCAACATAGAAATTTAAAGAGTGGCATAATTCAATCTATTATAAATAGACTCAGTTTGAGGGTTGTTACAAACAATATTGCCATGAATACTCTAGAACTTGTCTTTTTTTTGAGACAGAATCTCTCAAAATAGCCCAGGCTGGCCTTGAACTTCTAGGGGTCCTCCTACCTCAGCATCTTTGGCATTAGAATTACAGGTGTGCACTACCATTCCTGTATAGAACCTGTCTTTTAATGACTGCATACATACATGCACTTCTCCTATATTTGTACATAAATATGGCTTTGCTGGTTATAAAGCTTCTATATTTTTTTTGAGAAATTAGACACATTTATTGCTAAATAGATGCACATTGAGGCTATCCGCTTAAGTGCAATAAATAAGACACACATGTGTAAACACTGCATAGTTTCTCTAGAGTGAGAAACTGAAAGTGTAAATAAGGACTAACAAGTACAATAGATAATGTGAAATAGGAAGGAAAGGGACAAAGGGGAAGTGTTGTGGGAAGGAAAGAAGGTAATGGAATTAATATGAGAAAATGAAAAAAAGGAAACAAAATCTTTGTAAATAATTAAGGATGGAGGGGTTGAAGGGAGGGGAAGGGAAGAGGGAAATAATAAGACCCAAGAGAATTTATAAACGTGCAAATTTCCAACGATGAATATTATTATATTGTATATCTAAACTGTAACAAAATGGATATACATTTGAAGAAAATTGCCATGCAGTTCTGCTGCAAAGAAAGGGCCTGGAGAGTTGTCAAATTGTCCTAAGAAGAACTTGACATTAGAAGCCAAATACACTACTCACAATTGATTCTGCAGGTTGCACTGCACCTTTTTTTCAAACTGTCTCCTGGTATCAGCTCTCCCATACAAGGCAAAGGAAGTGGATGACATAAACTGCACTTACTCCTCATGGAAAGCAGCTAGTACACATGCAGTATGGCAATCACCTCCACTAAGGAAGTGACATGAAACATTACCCATTTCACAGTCTGCCTCTCTGCACTGAATGTTTTGTAGTGCATCTCTATGAAACCTGCACTGTGAGTTGCACTTTTGTTTAGAAATTTCCATCCATTGACATTATACTACAAAGCATCTGTGATAAACCAGTATGGTACAGGCAAAGAAACAAACCAGAAAACCAGTGGAACAAATTACAAGATACATAAATAACTCCAGATACAGTCAGCCACCTCATCTTTGACAAAGAAGCCAAACACCCTCACTGGTGGAAATATAGATTCTTTAATAAATGGTCCTGGCCAAGTTGGGTTTCAAGTTGCCAAAGAATAAAACTAGACCTATATCTCTCACCATGCACTAAACTAAAATCAAAATGGATTAAAGATCTAAATAGTACAACAGAAATCCTGAACCAGCTGGAACAGAGATTAGGTAAAACTCTTGAAGACAGTGGTTAAGGAAAAGAATCTATGAACAAAACAAGAGTTACCCATGACATAGCAGAAACAGCCAACAAGTGGGATCTCTTCTTACTAAAAAGCTTCTGTCCAACAAGTGAAACCCCTAGCAGTGTGAAAAGAGAACACACAATGTGGGAAAAAATGTTCAGCAGCAGTCTGACAGACAAAGGACTTCTATTGTGAATCTCTAAAGAATTTCAAAAAATCAGACCTCCCAAATTGAAAGGCTGAATCCAAAAATGACATCTGAAATGAACAGACATGCCTCGCACAAAGAACTAGAAATAGCCAATAAACATATGAAAAAATGTTCATGATCACTGGTCATTCGAGAGTTCCAATTGAATACAATGCTGAGATCCCACCTCACCTCAGAAAGAATGGCTGCTATCAAGAAATCAACCAATAACAAATGCTGGCAGTGCTGTAGGGAAAGAGGAGTACTGCTCCACTGCTGGTGCAAGTATAGAGTGGTGAAACCACTGTGGAAATCAGTACAGAAGCACCTCAATGTAGTAGGACTAGATTTCCCATTTGACTTAGCTCTTCACCTGCTATGTATTTCCACATAGGATTAAAAAATCATACCACAGTGATATATGTGCACTCATATTCATAGCAGCACACTTTGTAATAGCTAAGACTTGGAAACAGCCCAAATGCCCATTAACTTGAGACTGGGTAAAGAAAATGTGTGGTTTTTTTTTTTTTTTTTTTTTATCAAATGGACTACAACTGAGGCCTAAAAAATGAGAAATTAGACAAATTTATTCCTAAATAGATGCACATTGAGGCTATACACTTAAAAGAAATACATAAGATGCACATGTGTCAATACTGAAGAGTTTGTCTACAGTGAGAAACCAAAAGTGTAAATAAGGACTAAATAGTACAATAGATAATGTGAAATAGGAAGAAAAGTGGATAATGGGAAGCGTTGTGGAAAGGAAAGAAGGTAATGGAATTAATATGAGAAAACGAAAAAAAGGAAAAAAAATCTTTGTAAGGATGGAGGGGTTGAAGGGAGGGCAGGGAAGAGGAAAACAATAAGAATCGAGAGAGTATATAAAAGTACAAATTTCCAATGATGAATGTTAGTATATTGAATACCTAAAATGTACCAATAAATGGGTATATATTTTTAAAAATTTCCATGCAGTTCTACTGCAAATAAAAGGCCTGGAGAGTTGTCAAATTTGTCCTAAGAAGAACTTGACATTAGAAGCCAAACACACTACTCACAGTGATTCTTCAGGTTGAAATGCACTTTTCTTTCAAACATTGTTCTGATATCAGCTCTCCCATACAAGGCAAAGGAAGTGGATGACATAAACTGCACTTACTCTTCAGGGAAAGCAGCTAGCACTCTTGCAGTATGGCAATCACCTCCACTAAGGAAGTTATTTGAAGCACTAGTCATTTCACAGTGTGCCTCTCTGGACTGCCGATATGTGTAGCATATCTCTATGAAGCCTGTACTCTGCATGGCACTTTGGTTTAGAAAATGCCGTGCACTTGTGCTGCCAAGAAAGGGCCTGGAGTGGCGTCAACTTTGTCCTAAGAAGAACTTGAGGTTAGAAGCCAAAAACACTTTTCAGAATGGTTCTGCAGTTTGAAAACCAATATTCATTCAAACATTCTCCTGGCACCAGCACTCCCATACAAGACAGGGGAAGTCAATAACATAAAGTGCACACACTTCTCAGGATAGCAACTAGCACTTTGTAGTATGGCAACAAGTTCTACTCTAGAAATGTTATGAAACACTAGTTATTTCAAAATCTGCCTCTTTGCACTGCCAATTGGTGCAACACATCTCTAAGAGGCCTGTACTGTGAATCACACTTGAGCCTAGAAATTGCCATTCAGTCCTGCTGCAAAGAAAGGGCCTAGAGAGCTGTAAATTTTGTCCTCATAAGAACTTGACGTTTTAAGTCAAACAAATATCTCAGAATGGTTCTCGTGTTTGGAGAGCAGTTTTCATTAAAATATTCTCTTGGTATTAGCTCTCCAATGCAAGATAATGGAAGGAGATTACATAAAGTGGAGTTGCTTCTCAGGAAAGCACCTAGAATTCCTGTACCATGGCATTGAATTCCACTCTGGAAATGATGTTAAACACTAGTTATTTCAATGTGTACCTCTCTGCAGTGCTTATTTGTGCAGCACATCTCTATTTGACCTGCACTGTGAATCACACTTCGGTTTAGATAGTGCCATGAAGTTCTGTTGCAGAGAAAGGGCCTGGGGAACTGGAAACTTAGTTCTAAGTAGAAATTGAGTTTAGAAGCCAAACACACTATTCAGAAAAGTTCTGAAGTTTAAGTGCAGTTTCCATTCTAATATTCTCCTGGCAACATCTCTCCCATACAGGTCAATGGAAGGGGATGACAAAAAGTACAGTTACTTCTACGGGAAAGTAGCTAGCATTACTTCAATTTGGCAATCAATTCCCCTCTGGATGTGATATGGAACACTAGTCATTTCAAAATCTGCCTCTCTGCACTGCCAATTTGTGCAGAACATCACTAGGAGGCCTGTACTGTGAATCACACTTCGGCCTAGAAAATGCCATGCAGTTCTGCTGCAAAGAAAGGGCCTGGAGAACTGGTAACATTGTCCTAAGATGAACTTGAGGTTAGAAGCCAAACACACTATTCAGAAAGGTTCGGCAGTTTGAACTGGACTTTTCTTATGAACATGCTCCTGGCACTAGCTCTTCCATACAATTCAATGGGAGGGAACGACATAAAGTGCATTGAATTTTCAGGGAAAGCCACTAGCACTCTTGCAGTACAGCAATCAATTCCACTAAGGAGTGATATGAAACACTCTTCATTTCAGTCTGCCTTTCTGCGCTGATTGTTTGTGTAGCACATCTCTATGAAGCCTGTAATGTGAATTGCATTTTGGCTTAGAAATTGCCATGCACTGACACTCTACTACAAAACATCTGTGATAAAAACAGCACAGTACTGGCAAAGAAACAGAGCAAAAGACCAGTGGAACAAATTAAGAGATGCAGAATCAACTCCAGACACACTCAGCCAGCTCATCTTTGACAAAGGAGCCAAACACCATCACTGGTGGAAAGATGGACTCTTTAATAAAGCTTCTATATGTTAACATTAGCAGATACTCCAAAATTTTTTCCAATATAGTTGTACCAACTTGTACTACCATCATCAGAGAAAGAATCGCGTTGCATTGTTTGTAATACATAGTGTTTTCAGAAAAATTGCTTCACTTTGATGCTTATTCATGACTTTATGATTCCTTGATGACTTTGGGTTGTGCAATGATTTATAGACAGTCATTTTCCCCAAATAAGTCTCTCAGTGAGGACAAGAGGATCATTGATGGTTTGTTGGTAATATAAGAGCCAGAATAGCCTGATCTATTTCTGTGAACACAAGTTAGGTGACCAAGAATGGACTCCATTAAGGTCCTCTTTACTGCATCCACATCATTGACCTTACAAATTGCTCCCTTTTACCCTTTTATCTTTGGTCAGAAATCACGTTGTATCGATCCCTGTGAAGGACCTCATGATGTTCAGATGTAAATAGGTGACCAGAGTATCAGGGGTCATTCCAGTTAGTTATGTAAGGTTGAAAGGCAGAGAGCCTTGGGAAAATTTTGCCTGGGATGGATCTCAAAGGGCAGGACTGCATTCTTCATAGGTCTAGGTGAGGTATGTAACTAGCCCCCATCTTTTAGGTCTATATTACTGTTCAGTGCAGGAATTATGTTGTGTCTTCATTTTGTCCTCATATTTGCTTGAGGTTTTCTTCCTTCTCGTTGACTTCCACATCCTCTGTTCTAAAAACAGTTCTCATTGCTCTGTCTTCCTTCCAGTTTCCCAAGTGCTGTTGTCTTCTCTGCATCTGTTTGAATATTTAACTTTATTTTTCTGTCACTTTAGAAGAATTAGCAGAAAGGAAAAAAGTTTTATGATCTCCTTTCTTTAACAGAAAATGATAAATTGCTTTTCTCAAAAACAAAAATTTATAACCAATACTTACTACATTTTTGATATCGATAGTGCATCCTATAGTAAGAAGATTTAATAGTTTGCATTTTTACTATTTTTGGTCATTCTGATATTTCAGATTTTTACTATTATAAACTTCACTGAGGTGAATATCTGATACATTCTTTTTTGGGATTTCCCAGAATTATTCTTAGAAAACTGTGTTTTGTAAACTTTGGTTTTATTATTCTTCAGGCAGAGCCAGGCCAATAGACCAGGAGCTGATTGCTCTTGTAAGAGAGTTTGTTACTCACTGTTGCCCAAGACAAGGAACACTTCAGGGCCTATGGAAAAGGAGTCACATGCAGAAACACTCAGTTCAGTCATCAAGTTGTGGTCTAGTGATAGAGACAAGAACTGTTTTGTGGCACCCATGTGAGGAAGAGACAGGGTGAGCTGGCACAGGCACTGGAGTGATTAGGATAGGGGGTTAGTGGTTCATCATGTGTGAAAGCAATAAAGACAGTGGTTGTGGATGCAGACTCTGGATGGGTTATTCCGCCTATAGAAGATCTGGCCACAGCTAAGTGACTGGTGGTCTCTGGGAATAAACTTAGGTCATCAAGGGTTCAGATGTCAAAGGAATAGTAGAGAAATTAAATAAGAGAGATAATACAACTAGCTAGAGCAAAGACAATCTCTCTGTTCAGCAAGAGGATACATTTCAAGTTTTAGGATATCCAAAACAAACATGTTTTCTCATACACTTGTCAATGTTTGAAACTGCTATTGAAGTAATCATATTATAATGGGTGTTGGTTTGATAGGAACAATTGGGGCTTCTGCTCTGAATTTTCATGACTTGGTGTCCATTTCTTGATCTGTCAAGATAATATTTTGGCTAAGAAGGATGCCCACTATCACGACTCCTCTTCAATATTGTTCTGGAAACATTGGCCACAACAATTAGAAAAGAGAAAGAAAAAAAAGGAATAAAGATAGGAAAGGAAAAATCTAAAGTGTCCTTATTTGCTGATGATATAATTTACATAGAAGACCCAAAAAAACTCAGTCAAAAGTCTCCTAGACCTAATTGACAGATTCAGTAGAGTAGCTGGATATAAGGTCAACACTCAAAAAACAATAGCTTTCTTATACACAAATAGCAGACTCATTGAGAGAGAAACTGGGGAAATAATTCCTTTTACAATCTAGGAATCAATCTAACAAAGGAAGCGAAAGACCTCTACACTGAAAATTACAGGACTTTGAAAAAGGAGATTGAGGAGGATATAAGAAAATGGAAAGACATCCCTTGCTCCTGGGTAGGAAGAACCAATATAGTGAAAATGGCCATACTTCCAAAACTATTATATAGATTTAATGCAATGCCCATTGAAATTCCAAAAATATGTTCCACAGAACTAGAGAAAACAATCCAAAATTTGATTTGGAAGTAGAAGAGACCTAGAATAGCAAAAGCAATTCTAGGCAACAGAGACATGGTTGAGGGTATCACAATCCCCAACTTGAAATTATACTACAAAGCTACCGTGATAAAAACAGCATAGTACTGGCACAGAAACAGACCCAAGGATCAGTGGAATAGATTAGAAGATGCAGAAACAACTCCAGACATACTCAGCCACCTTATCTTTGACAAAAGAGCCAACTGCCCTCACTGGAGGAAAAAAATAGCCTATTTAATAACTGGTGTTTGAAAAACTAGAAATCAACCTGCTAAAGATGAAAACTGGACCTGTATCTATCACCATGCACTAAACTAAGATCAAAGTGGATTAACGATCTAAATATTAAAACAGAAACACTAAAGTTGCTGGAAGATAATTTAGGTAGAACTCTTGAAGACGTTGGCATAGGAAAAGACTTTATGAACAAAACCTCAGTAGCATGGAAACTAGCACAGAGAATCAACATCTAGGATCTCATCTTATTAAAAAGCTTCTGCACTGCAAGAGAAAGCACCAGCAGAGCTAAAAGAAAACCTACAGTGTGGGAAAAAATTTTAAGAGTTGTACCTCTGACAAAGTTCTACTTTCTAGAATATATAAAGAATTGAAATAGATCAGACCCCCGAAATTCAAAGACCCAATTCAAAAATGGGCATCTGAAATGAACAGACATTTCTCAGACAAAGAAGTGAAAGCAGCAAATAAGCACATGAAGAAATGTTCAGCATCACTGGTCATTCGAGAGATGCAGATGAAAACACTGAGATTCCATCTCACCCAAGAAAGAATGGCTGCTATCAAGTAATCAACCAATAACAAATGCTGGCGGCGGTGTGGAAAGAAAGCAACCCTTCTTCATTGTTGGTGGTAGTTCAGACTGGTGCTACCAGTGGAAATCAGTATGGAGATACCTCAAACAACTAGGGCTAGAGGTCCCTTTTGACCCAGCTATTCCCTTGCTGGGTATCTTCCCCAAAGAATTAAAAGAATCACACCCCAGCGATATATGTGCACCCATGTTTATAGCGGCGTAGTTTGTAATAGCTAAAACTTGGAAACAGCCCAAGTGCCCATCAACTGGAAACTGGATAAAGAAGATGTGGTTTTTCCATAAAATGGAGTACTACTCAGCCATAAAGAATGAGAAACTAGAGACATTTATAGCTAAATGGATGCACATTGAGAAGATACTCTTAAGTAAAATAAATAGGACACACATGTACAAATATCAAATAGTTTCTCTAGTGTGAGGAACTGAAAGTGTAAATAAGGACTAAAAGGTATAATAGATAATGTGACATAGGAAGAAAAGGGACAATGGGGAGGGGGAAGTGGGAGGGGTAGGGGAAAGGAAATAAGGGAATGGAATTAACATGAGAAAATGAAAAAAAGGAAACAAAGTCTTTGTAAATAGGGAGGGATGGAGGGATTGAAGGGAGGGCAGGGGAAGGGGGAAATAAAAACAAAGAAAGTATGTAAAGGTGCAAATTTCTAATGATGAATATTATTATATTACAAACCTAAAATGTACCAATAAAAGGATATTAAAAATGCTTCATTTTGTAAGTCATTTATTATTTTGTAAATGACATTTTGTCATTTACATATAATAAAATTTACCTTTTAAAACTTAACATTCAGGTGTTTATAGTATATTCAAAAAGATCTTAGACATTACCACTACCTAATCCCAGAACATTTTTACCACTCTGAAAAGAAACCTCATAGCATTAGCAGTCATTTCCCATGGCCACTCAGCACCTCTGTTTGTATCTCCTAGCAGGCACACAGTTATGTTTTGTCTCTCTTGCTTTGACTTTTCTAAAATTTTATATGAATGGAATCATGCATCCTATCACCTTCTGTGCCTGGCTTATTTCATGTAGTACAAGTTTACAAGTTTCACTTACACTGAAGCATGTTGTTCTTCAGAAAGGTCTCATGTGAGAACCAGCAAGAGGAGTAGCTCATCTGAAAGAATTTATATAGCAGGCCTATGGGAGGAGGTGTTTGTCATGCATAGTGGGATATATAGGCAAGTGAAAAAAAGAAAAAAGAAAAGGGAGCAAAGGAGTCCTGTTGCAGAGCTAAACCCAGGAATGTTAAGGAGCACTGAGTTTGGAGGAATGCCTCAGGGCAGGGATAAGTAATATTGTCAGGTGGTAGAGAATATCTTTTGAATAATATCTGCCACATGCAAAATGTCTGCACATGCAAAATATCTTGCATATGTTTTAAAATCTAACTGACAGGAGGAAAGTGAATCTCTCTATATGCAAAGATCAGGCTTTTAAGAAAATGCATGATATGTTCTACCTTAGGGTTATAAGGATAAGTCTGGTAAGATTATTTACCATAGAGGTGTGGAGAAAAAGAAGAGGCAATAAATAGTAAAAGTGCAGAAGTCAAGCAATGAAGGTCTTGGTGAGAAATCACTCATGGGAGAACACTGCAATCAGAAACCGTGAGCATGACAATAATGGCCACTGTCTATGCAGTGGATATTAGTGACTTCCCTGTGAGGCCATCTGCATGGTCTTGTTCCAGTTAGAAAATTTAGGGACATCACTCACACTTCACACCCTGTTCATCAGCAAGTCCTGTCAGTTCTTCCTTCAAATACATCCAGGCTCCACTCACAGGTCTGTAAAATGCAAGGCATAGATCACTGGGGCTGCTGCCCTTGGAAGAGTTTAATATAGAGCTAATGAGATTCTAGTTAGTCCCCAAAGAATGAGTTGCTTTAAAAGAGTAGGCCTGTCCTTGACTCTCCCTCCACATACACACATTTGTCTTGTCAACTACCCATAGAGCTCCTTGAGAGGAGGGACCAGTATTGAAGTCAGCTGTGTGTCCACCATGCCATTTTTTTAAATGCTTGAAAAATGAATAAATAAATGGGCGATGGCTGGGTAATCAGATCTGAAGATGTGATGCAAGGCTGGACATTGGCAGAAATTTTGCAGTACTAATTTAAGCATTGCAGAAGGGACTTGATGAAATTTAAGATTTCCTCCAAACTTGACAGTCTAGAAATCTGAGATACTATCCCAGGGAAGGTAAAACATGTGTTCTAATCTCCCAGCTCAGTATCTCTGGGACTATGAGATGCTGTAAAATTTTTCAAGTTGTACTGTGGACCCCAGGCCAAAGTTTCACTGTACCTTAAGTCATCCTCCTGCTGGTGATTATTTTTTTATTTTGAAAATTTTTTGCTAGTGCCTATTTTGAGAGGCTCACAGTGTATTGTGATACGAGTCATACAAGGAGAAAATCCTTATATAAGAAGTTGTTGGACTAGTTTGTGGCAAACTGTAACCTAAGTGTAGAGGCCAGACTGTTCAAATAAAAGTTTCATTGAACTCTGTAGGGGCAACTGTTCAGATTAAAGAGAACAAACTCTGGAAGGGTGGAGCATGAGAGTCCAAAGGGAAAGCCTAGGAGAGCTTTATAAGAAGAATAACTTTTCTATTATTTTAGATTGTACAAATAGGCTGGCTGGGTGAGATTCACAGAAACATCTTCTGTTCTTGGGGAGGACAAGTCCCTCCTTTTATACCAGCACAGAGACTTCCTTGGCTCCCAAGCTGTTGTCCTTCCATGATGTGGCTCTATGGTCTGTTTTTGGCATCTCTTGCTACTTGTATGTGTCGGGGTAAGTATTTTGGAAAGAAAAAACATCTAGGGACAGGGGATACTTTCAGGAATCCAAGTTTTGAGCAGATGTGGGTGGAGATGCTACAGGGAAAGGGCACAACAGTACATTCCTGAGGGGCACTCACTCTGGAGATAGACTTGTAGCACTCATACCACAGATTTTGGTGTGGACACACTGAGACACAGTGGGTGGTGGCTTAGGGGTAACACTCTGAGCTTCAAGAGCCCGCAACCAGTGCAGAAGTGCAATGAACTAACCTCATGACTCATATCTGACAATTAAGAGAGCTCAATTTTCATTCTTACTCCAGATCTGGCTATATCATTTAAAGAGTAATTTCATGAGTTGTGCGTCCTTAAGTGAGATATCTAACTTTGTTGTGCCTAAGTCACTCATCTTTAGAGTAAGGATGTCAGTAGAATCTACCTCAGTGTTCTATAGTGTGGATGAAAGGGATTGTTGCTTCTAAAGGACTTTGGATGGAAAGGGAGAATGGAGTTGAATTAAAATCGAGTATATTCACAGAAAATCTGAAGTATAGTCAGACCAACACATCAAGTCCCTGCAAAGTTAGTTCGTAACTTACAGCTACCATAGGAAGGAAATTGTCAATGTGGTGGAGGGGTGTGACATAAGGAGAAGCATCCAGGTCAGTCAGAAGGGATGAGAGCAGGAGGCTCCTGCAGGCCAGGGTCTTTATCCAGGTTTCATCTGGAAGAAAGAGGTGAAGCAGGGTTAGCAGGTATAGGATTAGCTAGTTTGAGTGCCTTTAGAAAACTTTGAGGTAAATGGGCTGCCCTTGATTTCTGGTACCTGGAACTGTCTGATTAGGGCAATTAGTTGGTGGCCCAAGATATGAAACTATATTACAGGAGGAAGTTGGGAGGGGTTCTGATTGGTTGTATAAGGCCTTACAGGTGAGAGCATTGGAATAGAAATTAAGTTTTTGGTTAATACAGATCTATAATGAGGGCTTTCAACATACATTTGTACCATTTGGTAGGTGGAGAAATTGAGACTCACAGGAACATGTATCCTCCCAAGGGTATGTGGAAAATCATGTCCTGGTCTCACTGGGTCCTGAATCCAAATAATTCTCAAGTGTAAGTGTCCTGAGATCAATAGCATCAATTGTATTTTATCTTCCTTCTGGCTATATAAGACTTTAAGAGAAATGGAATGAGTGAAAGGCAGAGAAAGGACCTAAACTTGGAATGGAACTGTTCTTTACTGCCGGTCACCCTGGTGACCATTCTTACAGACCATGCCTAGCAATTTGTGCTTAGACTTTACCCTCCTTAACCTCTTTGAAGCATTCTGCACTCCACTCAGCCCCTCCTCCTCTCTCTTGGTGCCAAGGCACTGTGCCCTTCTCCTGCCACCATGCTGGTGGGTGAGCTCAGTCTCAGCTGCAGCTGTCTCTACTTTATTCTCAGCTCATTCTCTTCTCTCACCTGTGTCTGCAGTGAGGTCACATGCACACCCATGCTGCACACCTTCACCTTCAGATGGATACCTCTACCATCTTTCACCACTTCCTGATAGTTTCATGATGGCTTCATCCTATGGCATCTTCTTAGCAGGATCCTCACTGAGTCTGTCCAGAAAACCACGTAGCATATGGAGCCAGCATCATACACCTGCTCTTTCTTCTCTTTTCTTTAAGAGATCCACATCTGGGCAGGGACCAAATACTCCATAATTCTTCATGTACATCTTCCTTTTTCTTCAAAACATTTTTCTCCTAATTACTAAAAGGGATCTATGTGTGGTGCAGAAACATTGGGAAGCTAAAGTAATAAAGAACTCCACAATGCCACTACCCATGGACATCTCGATATACTTACTTCCCAGGAAGTACATCTTGCTGTGATGAAAAAAAATAACAAACAAACAAAACAAAAAAAAAAAAAACAAAAACCCTGCCCCTAAGAAAAAGGCCCAAAGTTCCCCCCCCCGTAGAAAGACTTGCTCAGGACACCAGAGCAAGATTATAGAAGTTTATTGTGTCCTTTACTGTAGAACTGTTCCTGTTGCTCATTTGTCCTCTAGATAAAATTGGATTCCTTAGCCTATCTTTCAAGGCCATCCCTGACACACCTGCTCATTCCAGGATTATCTTCCATTCCTCATAGACTCCATCTGGTGGTATTCATAAGCTGCTTACTCCTTCCAAGCCAGATCCGGTATGTTACCTTCTCTGAGCCTCTGCATATTCTCTCCTCTGCCTTTTATACATTCCCATGCTGTGTTGTGTTATTCACTAGTCCTTGGCAGTAAATCCCAGCTCCTCTGTACCAATGAATTACTCACTCTTTATTCCAATGCCTAGACACCTTTCTGATTGCTCTACGAGGACACAGTCTTTTTCTCCCTGTGTTAAGTCTCCTCTGTCTGTGGCTCCTTCTCCCCACAAGGTTGGCTTTCTTGAAAGCAGAGACCCCTTCTTATGCATCCTTTCACCCATCATGCAGATCAGCACCAGGATCCTAATGGATATGTGCTTCCAAGGCAAGGGCTGAATGTTGTGTTCATTCCCAGTGGCTCTCCTTTGTGTAGAGGCTTTTGTCTGGGTGCTTGCCTATTGTCTGTTCTAATTTTCTCCACTGTTCATCTCTTTGAGTTAGAAAGAACAGTTTTCCTCCTCTTCATTTTCCTTAGAAGAAATTGATCTTAGTTGGTTTAATGGAAACATTCCTAGTAGTTTTAAGTGACTTATTCAAGCTCAAATGCCTAGGAAGTGGCAAAATCCACCTAGAATCAATGTCTAACCTCACCCTTTTGATGTGCCCTCTTTTCTTATCATGTCCAGCAGCTCACCCATCCTCACCACCTGTGGTGGACACTGTGTATGGCAAAGTCCTGGGGAAGTATGAGAGCCTGGAAGGATTTGCACAGCCAGTGGCCATTTTCCTGGGAGTCCCTTTTGCCAAACCCCCTCTTGGATCCCTGAGATTTGCTCCTCCACAGCCACCAGAGCCATGGAGCTTCGTGAAGAACACCACCTCCAGTCCTCCTATGTAAGCCAGTGGGGTTGTGTTTGGCCTCTTCAAGGGAGATGTTTGTCTTAGGGTGATGCAGGAGGAGTCAGAGCATCCAATGATTGGCTTATATTTTGTTCTAGAATTCTCTAGAATAATGTAGAATCTTGGAAACATTTCCCCAGTTTCACTATTTTGTGATGCTCTTAGTCATTAACACTTGTTATATTCCAGGCAAGATCCAGATTCCGGCAAAATGTTAGTGAACAACACAAAAGCCCCTCCCATCATGGAGCTTGTACCTAGCAGGGGGAGAAAGACTAAATAATATGCAAATTAATAATCAATTAGGTGCTATATGAGAATGTGCTAAGAGTTTTGGAAATAAGTAATGGGGCAGTGAAGGAGAGGACAAGTAATGATGGTATCTATTCTCCTATTTTAAGCCTTTGTATGCCTGAGAGTGGAGTTCATGAAGGAATGCTGTGGGTGTGGGTGATTTGGAGTTTACTTTGCAAGTTCTCACTCCCAGGTGTGTCCAGCTGGCTGTTCCCTCACATGTTCAGCAATGATTGCTATGTTCCAGTCACCTTGTTTAGCTGAGAAAAAAAATCTTAACCTATCAAAAAATCTTAATCTATCAAATTGGCCTTACAGCTACCCCCAGGGCACCTCAGATAAATAAAAGTTTCAGTTCAGATTTATTCATATCTTCAGGAAAATGTTACTGAAAATTTCCAGGATCCAGATTTCTTGCTGCTTTCTTTCCTTTTCCCTTGAGAATAAAATTCATTGTTTATACTTCCTGACTGCAATTGCAATCCTTACATAATCCAGAACTCTTAGGAAATACAGAGATAAGCAAAGATAAGAAAAAGTCAATAATTCACAATTAAACCACTGAGAATTGTTTTCAGTATTTGAGATTTTCTTTTCTATCTTTTATTTATTGCATTCTTCCTCCCTTGATAACAGATAATACGTACAGATTGAATGACTATTTTGTACTTTTATAAGTATAGTATCCATTAACATCACCCCTGAATTTAATAACATCATTAAATCCAGAATTGACATGGAATTTATTTACTTCTATTTCTTCCTTGCTATTATTAAGTAATCTTTGATATTCTGATATTATAATGCATTCATTAATACATTTGGATAATTTTGAAGAAATGATATTTATGAGACAAGGTGTATGAAACTTTGGTGTAATTTCCTCCAGAAATATTCCACTGATATTTGAAAACTTCCACCCAAAAGATTGTTTGCAATGATTCAGCTTATAGAAATTATTTATTTCACTATTGGATAAAGAAAACGATAGTGTAAGGATCATAACAATTATAAATACATTTTAAAATTTTTTGCTTTTAATGACAATGAAGTTAGACTCTTCTTGCTTTTTTGACCCTTGAATTTCTACCTTGATGAACATTAAGCCCCTTACTCTTGATTAACTGGGAACATTTCTACAGGATGGAAATCAAAAGTCATCTCTGCTGGCTCCACTTCTGTTATTTTTCTTTCATTATCAGAAAATTTATAAAAGCTGTGACAAACCACATCATTACACAAAGTTGAACTTCTACACATCAACATTTTTAAAATTTTATTTTAAAAATATGTAATTTACAACATTATTAAAAATGTGAAGGATTTGAGAATAAATATTTTGTAGTGAATGTACAAATTCTATGTGGAAAATTATAACATTTTTATAAAATATTATAGACTATTATAGAAGTATTTTATAAAATATAGAAGACAACCACTAGTTTTTAGGTAAAATTAATATGAGTATCACTTTTCAGATATATAGGTTTTGTTGAGAAACAGGTTGAGCTGCGAATGATCCATGCATTTTCTTGAAGAGAATGATCTCTCTCTTCTAGATATAACATAATAAATAAGGGTAATTTAAATAATTGACAAAAGGTAGAACAGGGCCACCTATAAAAAGTACAGAAATAACTCACCTGTATGTAGAAACTTAATTCATGAAACACTCACTGCAGATAGAAGGATGAGCTTGGAGAGAGAGAGGAAAACTGTTACTTCTACTATTACTACTACTACTACTAAGACTACTACTACTACTACTACTACTACTAGAAACTTTGAGTAACTTTATAGGAAAAATATTTAATTTTGCATGAATTAAAAATATAAATGTGAAAGGTGAAGCTATAAAATTCTAGAAGTCAGAATAGAATAAAAACGTATTAACCCCTTGGGGGAAATATTTATTAAAGAAGGCAAAATAAGTTATAGAGTCCTATTCTTGATGACCCACTTCCTTCCCTTCTACACTTTCCAGATTACATAGCTTTGCTTTACTAGGTGCCACTTCTTTTCCTGTTGTATTTCTGATTGCCCCAAAGCTGATATGCACTGTACCTTCCTTGCCAGCTCTGGAAATCTTCATTCTGATCAAGCTAAAGAGATGATTTCATTATGTCTTGGAATGCAGTTAGCTCCCTTCATCCTGGGTCTATTTTATATTGTAGAAGTCAGTGGCACTTTTTCAATATATTGTTTCAATTTATGAGCTGTTTTCAAGCCATCTTGAAAGAAACTGCACAGTACGTGATAGTACTTACAAAATTCTGCAGCACTTCCACACACTTTTGGCTCTTGATTTCATCAGAACGAATTAGATGTTCATACATATGGAGCTCATAGAGAGGCCTTTGCTTCTGCATGTCTTCTGCAATCTTGGCTCCACTTATCTCTGGGCATATCACCCCATGTTATTTCGAATGCTCTCATTTCTCCTTCTCAATTTTTGGAAACTTTATCTCATAATCTTTCCAGACTTAGTCAAATGGTTTCTTGAAATCGCCTTTGATTCCCTTTAGGTCTCTTTCTAACAAGAATTCCAAGGTGAAGGTCACATTGTGGCTCAGAGCCTGGAGCAGATTTTTTTGGACAGTTCCTTTGTTAGAGCAGAAAACTTGACAAAAGCAGGGCCAAGATCTTAAACAATTACTTGCAAACTTATCAAAAACTTGTGAATGGTTTTCTGCATTTAGTATGTGGTCTTGGCCAGAATTATATATTGTTTGTACAGATTTCTTCACTTTCTCTAAGGCTGTTCTATCTTGGTCTGGAGACACTTGCATCAGTGTGACAGTGTTCTGGCAGCTGTGCAGCCGCCTGGTGATGCTGGACAAGGTGGAAGAGTTGTAGTCCTGTATGATTTTCATGATGAACTAATTCTGAGATAGATATTTGTCAGGCATCCTGGTACCAGACCATTTTTAGAGGGCTTTATCCTGGAGAAGAGCTCAAGAACTAATTTCTGCTGGTGTTCTCATTTTCTTCTGCACCCCGGGGCAGGCAGCACCAGTTCTGAGGGCTTCAGAGCTGATCCCACTGAGGCCATCTCTGGGGACTCTGGGGTCCAGCATCTGCTGGTCTTGGAGGAGGTGAGTCTCCCAGATCCAGGGCTGCACCTGAGAGTGTGGACCTAAATGCAGATGGAGAGTGACTATGAGATCTCTAGGATGTGAGTTATAGGTAAGTGTTGGAGCCAGACATTAAGAGAAAGGATACTGGGGTTACTGGGTAGCAGCAGGTAGTCCAGAAAAGAGACAAGGAACAGTAACAAGACCCTTGATGCTGCCTGTATCCTGAGCTTTAGCAGCATTCAGTGTGCTTTTGCCAGGAGACATAGGGCAGAAGAACTTGGCAGACAAGGGGCCAAACACATTGCCAATCCTGTGCAAGGTTCTGGACGGTCATGAGGGTGGCTTCTGGAGTGGAGGCTGTGAGTTGATGGGCAAAAGCCACCACTCTGTCCTCATTAAATGGTCGGGCATTCTGCACAATGAACACCATGGCCAGCATGGAGGGTGGCGAGGCTGCATCACTGGAGTCTCCATCCAGTGTTAGGAGTAGGGTTAGGGGTAGGATGAGGGTTAGAGTTTGAGTTTCCTGGACATTCCTATGCTGGAGGTGGCTCCCAGGTCCAGGCCTCAGGCAAGCAGTACCCTAAGCAGGGCTCATGTTGGCCAAGTCAGGCCACCTCTCTCAAGTGGGGAGCAGTGGTGCAGGCCATCTGGGCCATGTGCCACTACCTGTACCCCACACAGTTGGTAGAGGAACAGTACAGTTACCTGTCAGGGCCCCAGAGAAGCCTCCATGGATCCTGCTGCACGTTTCCTTTCCTTTCTGACTCATGGCAGAACCATCTCAGGCCTGCTTCTGCAACTTGACAGCTATGCCACACTCACACCTGAGATCCGCAATTGGCTCTTGTCCATCGTGAGTGCAGCAATGCCTGTCTGGTTCTATCAAGATCTTAGAATGTTCCTTACAAGGTACTTGAAAATAAGAGCACAAGACAGCATGAATCTTCCTGTCTGTGTGACCTTGGCAGGTTCTCTAAACTCTTTGTTCCTCAGTTTCCTCATATATAAAATGCTGACAATAACAGAGTTCATCTGGCGATGATCTAAGGCTTAAATGAGGTAGTTCATAAGAGCTTAATTCAGAGCCTGGAACACAGGGACTACTCAGTACATGTTACCAATTTGAATCTGTGTTCTATAATGGAGAATTCTTGTCAGGGAAGCAGATAGATGGATGAATCTTAGCTTAGTGGGTATGTGAGACCCTTAGAGAAAGCACTTTCCTCACTTGGCCCTGCCTGATGGGGGCCCAGAGCAGAAAGGAATTCATTTAAGGTCACCCAGCACATCTGGTGACCTGAGACAAGCATGAAATGCGGTACTCTTGAGATTGTCTTCAAAAATGCTTGCTAAGGATGAAGGTCTGATATTTAGGAAAGTTCTGCTGGGTGATGGAGATCAACCAAGGACTCGAACATGGTTACTTGGTGGAGGGCCAGAGTCACCTGGCAGTTCAGCAGCGACTGGGGCTGTACTGGGAATGCAGGAAATGTCATGGACCAGGGCCAATCAGTGTATGCGGAGCCTCCTTTACCTGAACAAGAAACTCTTCAATGCTCTGAAGGGGAGAAGCTCTATGTGCTTCTCACTCTACATGGTCTGGGGGACTTCAGAAATTCCCAGAGTTCCCATCAGGGCCTCTAGAATGTTTCCTTCTAGATGTAATTCTTCCATTCCAGTGATAGCATCTCCATTTATAAAACTAAACTTCCCAGTGGAACGTCAGGGCCCAAGTGACCCTTGGAGTTTCCTTCTGGTTGAAATTTGTGTTTTTTCTTCCCTGTCAGGTGCTCCCAAGATCCAGCAGTAGGGCAGATGGAGTCAGACTTCGCGAAAATCAAAGAACACACTCTCATATATTCTGAAGACTGTCTGTACCTAAATATTTATACTCCTGCTGACTTGACTAGGAAAACTAGGCTGCCGGTAAGCTTGGGAACCACTTGGTGAGACTGATGAGTTCTAGCATCTAGATCATCCACTACATGGATGGTGGTAAAGGCAGCTTGGAACAAAAACATTATAGGCCAGGACAGATTCAGGGATTCAGAGCTTTCTTTGATTTGAGGAAATGAAAGTTTCCTTTTCCTAGTTCTCTTAATTTTCTCAGGCCTTGGAGGGAGAATTATGTTCATCTGGAATGTACACCTTAGATTTTCCAAGTTTGTCATACTAATAAAAGGACAAAAATGATTACACTTAGTTACTAGCTTCAGAACCTCTCCCTCTGTCCATCTAAGATTTAATTTTCAAAAAAGTTAGAGCTGGAGGGAAACTTTGAGAAAATTGAACAACCTGAGTTTCTTTACATATAGGAAAACTGAGACAGATCAGAGAAGGTCAGTCACATGACAGGGAAAGCAACAGAAGACTGTCTTCTGATCTTGAAACCAGTGCTCTTTGACATGGACTAGGAAAGGAAGCACACTGGCTGGGTTTCTACACACACTACCCATGACAACTTTCACTGTGCAGTGAGAACAGTCACTATCCCATATCTGAGGTGTTGGTTCAGTAACAAACAATTTCTTGTCTTTGGCCACCAATCTGAGATTTTATCATCGCTCCCTAATTGCCTTTGGCACTAGCTCATGTTCCAGTGAGTCAGCATTTCACAAACAAATGAAGGGTTAGAGTTCAGGCAGGCTGCAGATGCAGAGCATGGAGTGGGGAAGAACAGGCTGGAAAAGAAAGGACAGGAGGACTGTTGTCACAACCCATCCTGTTTTCCAAAATCATCCTGCACGGGTCCCAGAAATTGTGTAGGAAGGTGCGACCTGGGGACAGGAAGTTGGTCCTGTATGGGCATTGTAAGGCACAAAGAAGTGGGACAAAATTTCCCTCAATCACTCATTCACTCATTCATTCATTGATTCATTGACTCACTCCCTCATTCACTCAGTCTTCTCTTTTGTACTCAGTGTTTCTTGAGGATTGGGAAAAGGAGAAACATAAAACAATGCCAGCCATAACCAGACAGATCTTGCCTTCGAGGATCTTGCATCTCAGCTGCACAGACACACTGTAATTTCTCAGCCTATCATTGCTAATCAGCTCTAGGACTCAGCCTTCACTTAATGATCTTGACTCAGTCCCTGCCTTGGAGATATTCTGGAATCAGAGGTCAAAAAGAAACAGGGGCTTCAGGAGATAGGAAGCAGGAGGCCCTGCAGCTATGGACAGACACAAATTCTAGAGCTACAGAGTCCTCCTTTGAGTGGTATATGGCCTTGAGCAACTTCTTAATTTCTCTCAGCCTCTGTTTCTTCCAATACAATAACAGCTATGAATATTCAATGACAACTGTCCAACTTTAGCTCATGTCTGGGCCTGTTCATACACCAGCACTGATGAACACAAGTAAGAAGTGACTTTCTATGGTGTGGCCATGGGTTGCAGCCAATGGGCAAGGCCAACACCTGAGTGCTGGGGCCATACTACATGGTGAACTTATTGGCTATGGCAGCTTGTGCAAATGACATGCTTCAGTTTTTCTATCTGTAATATGGGAAAATAGTAGTTTTTGGCTCAGGAATAGGTTATTTAAAAGTGCTCAGTACAGTACCTAGTATAGAGTTATTTTTATTGGTGATTTTATATTTTATTAGAAAAATTATTACAATATTGTTATTATTTTATGCTGTCCCAGGCCTTCCTTCAGTGCAAACTCTTGAAATTCAGCAACTATGATTATGAACTGTTGCATCCTCTCTCATCCTCAATTCTGACCACAATCCCTAGCACATAGTAGGCTCTCAGATATGTTAGTCAAATCATTGAAGACTTCATGAAGGAAATAGATGTGGTGCGGGCACAGGAGGGTGGAGGATTTGGGTGGAGAGGAGGCAGAGAGCAGGACTATAAGGAAGGCTCACTGCCCAGGGAACGTGTGCACCTTGAGAGAATCAATCTTGCACACCAATTTAATCCCCTCCCCCCAAAAAGTAAACTGAGGTGAAGCTGAAATACATAGTCTGCCCATGATCATGTCATCTGGATGAATGATCCAGGCATGAGTTTGATGCAGTGCTGGGGAGAACCTGACATTCATGGCTTTTGCTTTTCCCATGGTGATGTTCTGTTTGAAGAGCTTTGGGAGGATGTAGCAAATAAGATCTGGGTCAAAAGGAGGGGTACCAAGGTATACCCCATCTCAGAGTGGGGAAGTGTACTGGTACACAGGAGGTAGAGTTGTGGAGAATAAAGGCTGTCTTGCAAACTTACTTACTGGGCACTGTGAAATTTGGGCGATGGCCTCCTTGAGTCACAAGTGGGACCAGGCAACCAAACAAGACAACCACTGAGGTCCTTCCCAATTCTGCTTCCTGTAAGCAGTGTGGATGTGTCTTTGCCCAGGTGCTGGTGTGGATCCATGGAGGTGGTCTGATCGGGGGTGGAGCATCAATCTACAATGGGCTGACCCTCTCTGCCCATGAAAATATGGTGGTGGTTAACATTCAGTACCGTCTAGGAATCTGGGGATTCTTCAGGTAAGATGTTAGACTCTTATCTATACATATTAGCTTCTGTGTTGATGTGTTCTCTGTTAACATGATGAAGTAACTGACACTGGATAATTCATTTTATTTTTTTTTTTTGGTACCAGGGATAGAACTTGGGACCTTGGGCCTGTGAGGCTGGCCACGGAACTACTGAGCTAAATCTCCAGCCTTGCATAATTACTTTAAAGGAACAAATTTATTTGGTTCAGTCCAACCTCAAGGGTTTCATTTGATTAGTCTATGGTGACAGCACCATGGCTGTGTTACAACATGGTGGAGATCAGAAAGGGAATCTTCAGCAAACAGAATAGCTCACAAGACAAGAAACCAAGGGGTAGAGTCAGGGCCAAACCTGCTCATTTAAAGAAACTCATTCTTTTGGGACTAACTAGCATCTCATTAGCTCTATATTCAACTCTTCTAAGGGCAGCAGCCCCAGTGGCCTATGCCTCACCTTTTACAGGTTTGACTGAAACAGGAAACTGTGAGGATCCTGGACAGAGAGCACTCTTAAGGGGAAGAGAGGAGCAAAAGTGGCCCAGAGTGACTACTGTCAGTCTTGAGAGCCCCAAATAGAACTTTGTTCTTTATATACCTCTTTTTATATCTATGAGGCTTTTTGTCATTGGGGTTTCCCTGGGAATATAGCAAGCAGGATTTACATAAAGAAGAGCAATGCGTTTGGGCGAGGACAAGAGTTCTGGCAGGACTTTCTGAGTCCCTTATGCTCCTGAAGCATGACCACTTGGGGGTCTCCAGACAGACCACTGACCACACTGAGTAGGAGCAAAATCAGCTTTATTCCTAGTGGCTTGGAGGGATTCAAATCACCTCGAAAGTGTCAAACAGAAGTTTACTGCCATTTTTATACCTTTATGTTTCTATGGGAGGGGGAGGGAGAAACAGGAGCCATAATCCCTGGGGAAACAGCTATCAATCGAAACATAATTATATAAGCAAAAGGGGAATGAAGGGGGGAGCAGGAAGTTTAGCAGGGCTTTCTGAGATAGTCTTGCTCTAGTGAGTTTGCATTACAGTAGTGACCATAATTACACTATATCTTTCTCAGCAAGCATAGTTACACAGTCAACCCATAGTTGTCCATTTTTACACCCATTTTTATGCCTTCACTCCTTTGGTGACAGATTATAGAAGTTGTCACAGCTACTCAGATATATTCCACAAAGAGCATAGTTACCTAGTTAATCCATAGCTGCCTAAAAATACAGTTAACCCATAGATGCCTAATAACATAATTTACCCATAGTTGCTCAACTCCATATGGAGGGGTGCTTTTCTCTCTCACTATCAACTTTTAATACTGACACATTAGGTATCAAGGCTTCAGCACAAGAATCCCTGGTGGGGGCCACATGAAAACCAAACCACATTAGCTGCCACAGAAAAGATGTGAGGTCCCAGCTGTAGGCATGCCATCTCTCAAAGAACTCTTTCTTAAGGTTCTTTATAATACAACCAGTCCTTTTGTTATTGGACACCAGTGAAGTTTTCATTCACCAATCACACTTGTCCATTGATTCTGAGCATTTGCATAGGCGAAGTTCCTCTGCCTGGAAAATCTGCTCTACCTGTCAGATTCATACTCTTCCTGCAAACCCCATTCTTCACATTACTGGCTCTGAAATGCTCATTTCCTTCTCACCTGTGCTGTATCCCAGTGCCCAGCAAAGTTTGGAAAAGACCCTCTCCATAAGTCTCCTTCTATGAAGGGAGTGAGAATTCAGCAGAGCAATTAGGTGCTGTATATCTTCTGGGAAAGCAGGAAGAGCCAAACTCATGGCAGGATTGCACATACTTGCAAAGACAGATTTTCAACTGAACATGCTGCCAGGCTCTTCTCATAGAGGTCAGTAGTGACCCCATCAGCTCCTGGCCCAGCCTCATGAGATTTCTTAGCACCAGCCACAGACAACCTCTCTTTCGACTCTGAAGTCCTTTCTTCTAGCTCTGCCAAACTCTAATCTATCGGGCTGCTCCTCCTCAGCTGCTTTGCTACTCCTGTCCCATCCACAGTCCTCAGTGTCTCCCCATCCTTCTCCACTAATTCCTGAGCACTTTCACAGCTCCTTGTTTGCAGAATTCACCTGGTTTTTAATCTAGGTGCCAACTTTAGAAGTCTTCTCCCATTTCCCCTGGAGGTCTACAAGATGCCTCCCATTTTACATCTACATACTGTCGTGTTCACTACCTCTTCCTCTCTTCCCTCAAGAGCCCCAGTGTAACCACTAGTAGTTCTATCTTCCCTCTTCCTCAGGATAAAGGCCTGATGGGTATCCCAGACTCTTATTTTACTTCTTATTCCTTACATCCACTTGATCAGCAAATCTTCTTGACTCTAACTTTAAAATATGTTATTCAGCTATTCCTCACCTACTCCTTGTTTGCACCCTGATCAAAGGTCAGTGCCTCTACCCTGTATTATAAACACTTATTTTATAAAATTGCTACTTTTATAGAATGGTTGCTTCATATCATACCCAGAGTGCTCACATGAGACATAGGTTGAATGACATTGTGCCTGTGAGGATATTTCTCATGTTACTTACTATGGCACAGAAGTCCTTGCCATGGCCCACAGCACGGTCTATAGCACATTTCACACTAGCACACACAGTTTCTTCTCTTGTGTCAGGGTTCTGTCCACCTGCAACTTCTCCTAAATGAAATTCCCTTCCCTTAGTAATATACAAGACCATGTGCTCATTTTATTCAGAGATCTACCAAATGCTAATGTTCCAGGGAAGTTTTCACTGGTCATGAAATCTCACATATCACCACACTGTCCCACATGTGCTTCTTTCTTTACCC